ACTGTTTTCTTGATGTTGAGCTTCAATCCATATTGAAGTCTGCAGTCCTTGACCTTCTGCAGCAAGTACTTTAGATCCTCCTCCATTTCAGCAAGAAGGGCTGTGTCGTCTGCACAGAACTTAGGTTGTTGATAAATCTTCCTCCAATCCTGATGCAACATTCCTACTCAAAGAGCTCAGCCTCCCAGATGAACTGTTCCACATACACACTGAAAAGGTATAGAGATAAGGCACATCTCTGGCATATACCTTTCCTGATATTAAACCACGCAGTGTTTCCTTGCTCTGTTCTGATGACTGCCTCCTGGTCCAAGTACAGGTTTCACATAAGCACAATCAAGGGTTCTGGGATTTCCACTCTTCTCAGAGTCAACCATAATTTGTTGTGATCCATATAGTCAAATGGCTTTGTGTAATCAATGAAACACAGATAGGTATTCCTCTGGTGCATTCTGCTTTCAGCCAAGATCCAGGTAACACTAGCTGTAATATCCCTAGTACCATGGCCTCTTCTAAACACAGTCTACATATCTGGCAGTTCTCTGTTGATGTGCTGTTCCAGACATTTTTTGATCATTTTCAGTAGAATCTTGCTTGCATGTGATAGCAATGATATTGTTTGATAATTTCCATACTCTGTCAGATCACCTTTCTTTGGGATGGAAACAAATATGGATCTTTTCCAGTCAGTTGGCCAAGTGGTTGTCCTCCAGATTTTTTTGGCACAACTTGGTGAGTGCATCCAGGACAGCATCTGTTTGTTGAAATATGTCAATTGGTACACTATCAATTCCTGGGGCCTAGTTTTTTGCCAATTCTTTATGAGCAGCTTGGATTTCTTCCTTCATCACCACATGCTCTTGCTCATACGATGTTTCATGAAATTCTTCTGTGTCTGCCAATTCTTTTTGGTACAGTGACTCTGTATACTCCTTTCAATCTTCTTTTAAAGCTTTCTGGATCATTTAATATTCCGATCAAAGCTCCCTTAAGTATTGCAACTCAAGGCTTAAATTTGTTCTTCAGTTCCTTCAGCTTAAAAAATGCCAAGTTAATTCAGCCCTTTTTATTTTCTGACTCCAGCTCTTTGCACATGTCATTATAATATTTTGCTTTATCTTCCCACATTACCCTTTGAAATCTTCTGTGCAGCTCCTTAATTTCCTGATTTCTTTCCTTTGCTTTGGCTTCTTGTCCCTCTAGTGAAATATTCAGACGTCAAAAAAAATGGGTAGTTCTCCTTTGCCCTATATGGTCACTGTTTTTTGGAATCTATTCAGTGGAAGTGTTTTAGTTTGGCGTGTTCATTTAGCTACAATTATTACCAACTAAAATCACTCCTGAGCTATTATGTTTGTTAAATTATCATTACTTTTAGTCATGATAGTACAATCATACCAAAATGGCAATGGTCAGAGTTTTTCTTTCCCTGCATTTTCTGACACTACTTCACACACACAAGGTATCAAATATTGTTGGTGTTGTTGTTAGGTGTCATTAAGTTGAACACAACTCATAGAGGCCCTATGAAAAGTAGGTATGAACCCTATTCTATCCTATGCCATCCTTCTCACACTTCTTGACACATTAGAGTTCATTGAGGTAGTCACCACGTTAATCCACCTGTTTGAGGGTCTTCCTATCCTCCACCAACCTTCTATCTTTGCAAGCATCAGGTCCTTCTCCAAGGAATAACCCCTCCTAGCAACATGTTCAAAGTATGTAAGGAAAGCCTTATCATCTTTGCCTCCAAAGAGCACTCCAGCTGCACCCTCTACAAGACATATTTGTTCATTCTTTTGGCAGTCCTTCAGGTGTTCAGCACTCTTCTCCAGTACCACGGCTCAAAGGAATCAATTATTCTTCTTTGTTGAGCCCATGTTCCCAAATAATTTCCTCAGCATATAGACTGAATAGGTATGGAGAAAGAACACAAGCCTGACGCACACCTTTCTTAATTTTAAACCATGTAGTGTTCTCTATTATAAATCTTCTATAAATCTCCATATGTAGGGCTTATTGTTAGGTTTAATAGATATGGTTCTTTCATATTAAGGGAGAAAACTGCTCTTTTCTAAGTACTATCAAGTATGAATTTTCCAAGCAAAACAACTCTTTATTGTCTTTTTTCTAGAACAACATTTATGAAGGAGATACGTGGAAGGAGAGAAAGATGAGAGGAAAAGAAGGTCCATTTCTTACTTGGATTGTGCGAGGCAGCCTGGGGCAACCATACTGAGATTCTCCTCTGTGGCCTGCAGTGCAGTGAGTTCTACCATGTCAACCATCACATCGTTCGTGTGACCCGGGAGCTGGGGAAGCACTGTAATTATCTTCTCTACCAAATTGTCTCCGTGATGTCCAACTGCTCCTGTTGAAGCAAACAGGAAAATGAAAATCTGCAAAATCAGAAAGCTTAAAATGGATAAATGTTTTACAATGTATTTTATACCAACAACAAGATTTCTCTTACATTAGTAAGTAGCAAAAACCCAGTATATTACCTTGTGGAATGCTAATCACACTCACAATTACCTTGTCTGCCATTTACCTTGACCTCAGTGGTCCACGAGGGCAGATGCTGTGCTACTCTGATTACTCCTATATCCGACAGCATCTACCACAGTGCTTGCATAGGGTAGATATCAGTAGGTACTTAGTGAGTCATTCAACGTATGATTGGGGTATAGTCATGCAGGTAAACAGTGTCTATCTACTGCCATCAAGTAGATTCTGACTCACAGTAAGCCGCCAGGACACAGGATAACTGCCCCATCAGGTTTTAGAGGCTGAGAATCTTAGAGCAGCTAGTGGGTTTGAGCTTTCAACCATCTGGTTAGCAGCCCAGCAATTAATCCATAAGATGCTAGAATTTTGGAACTAAAAGCATTTTACTGATAATGGTATAAGACCCAGTAGAACTTAGAGATCTAAATTAAAAAAGAAGGAAAAACCCAACATGTGAAAAGCCTAGCTTCTTTCAGGTAGAATCGAGTCTTCACAGTGGCAAAGGCCCTGTTTGACCAGCTCTCCTTGTTCCCACCAGACACAACATGGAACTCGATAGCTAGGAGATTTTCATCAAGTATTTTGTGAACAAAGGACAGAAAAAAGAGTGAAAGGTGAATGCTTACAGTGAGAGGCCACATTTATTGAGTGCTTTCTGGGTACCAGGCACTGTATAGGTGCTTTAAGGGTACTAACTCTTTAAGTATCAAATTCAAGAGCTTAAGTTAGAATTCAAAACTAATGACACAGTTTATGCTTTTCCCATGAAACCAAGTTGTCGCCCAAAAAGCCTTGTTGCTTAGGAGACATCATTCCAACAACTGACAGGATTTACCACATTTTACTTGCTTTATTCTTGTCAACTTCAAAATTAATTAAGATTTTGCTTCCCAATACCTCCCACTCTTGTGTCTCACTCTCTTACTCTTGCCATGTTATATCAATGAGACAGAAGAACTAAGGAAAAGGCCAAACTAGGAATCAAAAAAATTATCACTGTCATCACAGTTGTTGTTGTTGTTGTTGGGCATCAGAGGTGACTCTCCAACGGGGCAGCAAATTGCACAGGAGGAGACTGCCCATCTCTCTCCTGCAGAGCAGCTGGTGAATCTGAATCGCCTGCCTTCAGGCTGGCAGTGAAGTTCCTTACCACTTGGCCACCTGGGCTCCCATTTTTATTGAGGGCTTATGATATATGAAAGGAACCCTGGTGGTATAGTTGGCTATGTGTTGCACTGCTAACTCAGAGGTCAATGGTTCAAATCTACCAGTCATTCTGTAGGGAAAAGATGGGAAAGTTCCTTCCATAAAGATTTACAGTCTTAGAAACGTTATGGAGGGTCACTATGAGTCAATCTTTACTTGATGTAAGTAGATTGAGGGGTTGTTGTTTTGGTATGATATACAAAGTTGTTGCTGTTGTTGTTCTATTGAGTTGAGTACATACTCCTAGTTTAAAAAAATATCAGTCTCAGAAAATTGACACAAGACAGAGATGCCATAAGTATTCTAAAGTGACTTCTGAGAATGCTTATTTCATTGGTAGAATATTCATTTCATTAAGATGTTAGAAAATACATTCGCTTTGCTGTCTATGCTTTAAGATTATCTCCTCAGCACTCAGCCCAGGACCAGACTCATTAAATAACAGCTGAATGAATGTTTACTGATTATAAATGGCCGAGGGATCCAGAGAGGGTTATGTGAAATATGTCTTTATATCCTTAAACTAAGGCTGGAACAAAAATAGCTGGATTTCTTCTTACCATATCTCACTCCAATGGTTTCCTCTTCCTATACTAAAAACTTCTACAAAGTTTTTTCATTTGCCTTAGCACTCAATTTCTTTCTTTGTCCATTTGTTTGTTTGTAGCACTTCTGATCTCTATCTAAAATACTTGTATTTTTAATATGCCACTCATAGACTCATCCCCTAGGTAAGAACTCCATTCTTCCTGGCTTTATTGCCTAATGCTTTTTTGCTTGCTGTTCATTCCTCTTAACCACAATTTCAAGATTTTTGGCAACCTACTTTTATTAAATCCTCTTTTAGGTTGTTACTGATAGGTCCTGTCAAGTCAAGTATGACTCATAATGACCCTATGAACAAAAGATCTGAACCCAGTCCTGTCCTGTGCCATCCTCGCACTTCCTGAAACACAAGAGCCCATTGCAGCACTCACTGTGTCAATCCACCTGCTTGAGGGTCTCCTCAATTGAGACTTTCAATTGAGGGTCTCCTCTCCTTTGCCAACCCTCCACCCTTCCCACATCATGTGCCTTTCCAAAGAATAGCACCTACTAGCAAGATGTCCAAAGTATGTGAGGCAAAGCCTCATCATTCTTGCCTCCAAAGAGCTCTCTGGCTGCACCTTCTTCAAGACATGTCTGTTCATTCTCTTTCCATCCAGTGCTCTTCTCCAACACCACAGCTCAAAGGCATCAATTCCTCTTCTATCATCATTCATTATCCATGTCTCGGGTGCATAGGTAGTAATTGTAAAGCCCATGGTCTGAATCAGACAAACCTTAGTCCGCAAACAGACATCACAACTACTCAATAATTTGGAAAGGTCCTTAACTGCAAATCTTCCCATTGCAATGTGTCTTCTTATTTCCTGTCTACTTGTACCAAGGGTGTTAATTGTGGATCCAAGCAAGATGAAACTGTCGACAGTTTCAATCTCCTCTCCATCCATCATTCCACTGCTTGTTGGTCTAGTGGTAAGAGTCTTTGTTTTCTTGATACTGAGATGCAACAAATGTTTCAAGTCCTCCTCACTTTCAGCAAGTAAGGTTGTGCCATCTGCATAACGCAGGTTATCAATGAATTTCCCTCCAATTCTTATGCCACAATCCTCTTCATAAAGTCCAGCTTCTCAGATAATTTGCTCAGCATATAGATGGAATAGATTATTGACTAATCAAGTCCTCTTAAAATATTTTTTCTTAAAGTATGGTGTTGTTGTTATGTGCTGTCGAGTTGCCTGTGACTCATAGCAACCCTATGTACAACAGCCCTGAAACCTGCTCTATCCAGTGCCAATCTTATTGTCTCTGACACACCTTCCCCATTACTCCAGTCACTGAATCAATCCATCTTATCGAGGGTCTTCCTCTCTTGCACTATCCCTTCCCCCTCCCAAGCATTACATCCCTCTCTAAGGACTGGTCCCTCCCTGCAACATGTCCAAAGTATGTCAGACAAAGCTTCAGAGTCCTTGCCTCCAAGGAGCAGCCTGGTCTCACCCTCTTTAGGATGAATCTGTTCTCCCAGCAGTACATGTTATTATATTAATGTAATAATAATAGCCAAATGATACTTTTACAACATCAAAAGAACATGTAGACTCTTAATATTCTTAATGTACAAAAACCAAGGGAATGATTAAGAGAATTCTGGTATATTTATAGATACAATTCTCAAATTATTATTTGTTTACAATTTTCTTCTGTTTACCTGTTATCTTCTGGGTTATGTTCTGTGATAAGCAAATATTCCTGCTATAATGTTGTTGTTGTTGTTGTTATATGCCATCAAGTCCCCTGTGACTAATAGTGGCCCTATGTCCAGTAGCTCTGAACCAAGCCCTGTCCTGAGCTAGTTTTTCTGATTTGAACACACCAAGCCCCATTGCCCTCGTTACTGTATCCATCCATCTCGTCCAGGGTCTTCTTCTCTTTACTGTAATAAACATTTCTTAAATTAAACAAATATGTGTCCACAAATAGCTCAAAATACAACAAGAGTTATCTTTGGGTGATACAGTTAAATTTATATAAACACTACAGAAACTTTCTTTTCTCCCAATGTTGTCTATGAAAAAAGTATAGCAAACCCACTGCTGTTGAGGTGATTCCAATTCATAGTGACAGGTCATCATGTTTCTGAGGATATAACTCTTTAAAGAAGGGGGCTGCCCATCTTTCTCCCACTGGTGGATTTGAACTACTGACTTTTTAGTTAGCAGGCAAGCATGTTAATGCACTATGCTACCATGGCTCTTGAAGTACATAATAAAGGTTAACTATTTTTAAAAATAACAAATTTTAAACAATAAATAACATTCCATCAGGAACTTTTTAAAGTATCATATCAGAAAATATTAACAAATGTTACATTATCATACTTCCTTAGCTTGCTTCAAAAAGGAAGTCAACAGGATATGAACAGTTACCATGTTTGATAACAAATGAAATTAATAAAAGCAGGCAGGGATTTTCAGTTTGTTATTCTGCTCTGCCCTGAAAATAGTCTCACAAATTCAATTTTACAGATCAATATACATTTCTTTCATTTAATCAGTGACATATTTATGACATCAATATGGACATTTGGAGACTGCCAATGTCACAGTAACATTGGATTCTTCTTTTAAAAAGTAGAAAAAGAAAGTCAAGATCCACATCATATTTAAATGTTCAGAGGACTGCCTTGCTCCTTTATTCTAGAAGTTTAAAATACTATCTAAAAAATTTATATAATGGCATCTAAACTCAAGTTATTTCTTCCATATATAACTTGTAATTTGACAGCTGTGCAGCCAGTCCCCTTCCATGTATAGAGAAAATGGCTTATTTTACCAACATCATCTTTTCATAGGGAGTGAGGAGATAGAGGAAAGAAGCTTTTACGCCATAGTTGATAAAGTCAAAGGTTGGTAATTGAAAACCGCCAGTCACTGAGGGAAAATACACTCACAGTCTCATGCCATAAATATACAGCCCTGGCCATCCTAAGTGAAAATAAGAATTCAAAGGGAAAGCTCAAGAAGACAAAGTATTATAATAAAAAATGCAAAGACCTCAGAGATAAAAAGAGAAGAATCTGCTCTGCATTTCTCAAGCTGAAAGAACTGTAAA